TGCTGTCATTCCCTCCCTCAACCGCCCTCTGACCATCCCCTTTCCTTCGTGCCACCCTCCCTTCCTGGCCATTTCTGCATTCCCCCCCCCCCCCCTGCCATGGTAGTCGCGTTGGATTTGGCTCAAAGGGCGGCACGCCGACCTCTAATCTGTGGGTCGGCTCCGTCTATGAGACGGTCTCCTATGAGCTGCTCCGGTCGGTCTTCTCGCAATATGGCCAAGTGTTGGATTCGAATATCCTACGCAGCTCCACATGTGCTTTTGTGCGCATGGGCAGCATTGCCGAGGCTACTCGGGCCATGGAGGCCCTGCGCGGACGTAGCCTGGACGGCAACCCAAGCCACATCATGCGCATCGAGTATGCGGATTCCAAGTCCAGCCGGTGCGCCCCCTCTCTCTTTTTCTCTCTCCCTCCCTCCCTCGCTCCCTCCCTCCCTCCTCACCGCCATGTGTACATCATGCATCTCCATGTGCTTCTGGTCTGCTTTCTTCTCCCCGGCTTCCCGCACTCAGGGAGGATGACGCCTTGGCTCGGGCGGCGACCGGCAGCTCGCCCGGCAGCCCTGGGCTGACAACCGGCCCTTCGCCACTCACCTCCTCGGCCTCCTCGTCATCCTTGCTGACGCCTACCGCCTCGCCGGCCCTGGGATCGGCCTTGGGTGGTCCGCCCGGCAGCGGCACAGCCGCCTCGGCTGCCCCGCTGCTCTCCGGCGGCGGGCAATCGCCCTTCTCGGGAGACGTTTCCCCCGGTGGCGGTAGTGGCGGCGTCCCTCCGGTGGTGTCGCTGGACTTGCGCTTCCACCCGGACAGCAGCCACGGCGGTGGGGACCCTTCCTCCTCACCTGGGCTGGCTGATGCGGATATCGACTCGGATGTCGGGCGCTTGGCACATGGCGGCCCGGGCATGGCGCCCCAAGCCCAGGGGGCCGGGGCACATCATTCGCTCCAGCCGGCCATCGGTCATGGATTGCACCACCACCATGGGCACGGGGGGGGGCCCCACTCGCTGGGGGGCCATCCGGGCGGCGGACCTCCCGGGGTTCCACCCCCGCCCCCACCCCACCCGCTCCAGCATTTGGCCCATCAGCAACCGGCTCCGGGCATGGTGCCCTTCCACCATCTGCCGCTGGCCGGGCGGTACCCGGCACCGGGCGCCGCCGGGCCGATCCCCATGGTTCCGACTCCGCCTGGTGGGCCGCCTTACGGGCGCCTCGGAGCACACCTGGGTGCCCCGATGGCCGGGCACCTGGCCATGTCCCGCATGTACCCGCACGGGGTCTTCCCACGAATGCCCCCGGCCGGAGTGGGCCTGCCGCCCGGGCTCGGGGGCCCATACTTCCCCCCTGCCGGGACCGCTGATCCCTCCGGGGTGGGTCTGCCCCCTGGGATGGGTGGTCCGGCGGCAGCGGCGGCAGCGGCAGCGGCAGCAGCGGCGGCAGCGGCGGCAGCGGCGGCGGCCGCCGCCGCAAGCAAGGGGCCCAGCACATTGGCTCCCTCGCCCAGCGGGGGGCTGGCCCCGGCTGGCGGGTCATCCTCACCCCCGCCGCCACTCGGTGCCCGGGGGCTGTCCTCCTCCTCGTCCTCTTCCTCCTCCTCGTCCTCCTCCTCGTCCTCGTCCTCCTCCTCCTCGACCACCACCGCCCCCGCCAGCGGCAGTGCCCCTTCGTCCGCCTCCACCGGCCGGGGGTTCTCCTCGCTGAGTGCCATCTCCTGGACCAGTGGCGATCGCTCACGCTCGGCCTCGCCCGACTCCGGGAGCGGCGGTAGCGGCACCTGGCAGCGCGATCGCGAGGACACCCTCTCCGATCGATATGGCCGGACCAGCCGCTACGAGCGTTATGTCCAGCGGTCGACCTCGCGCGAACGCTCCGCCAGTCCCCCCTCCTCGGCATCTTCTTCCTCGTCTGCGCTCTCCGTGCCTTCGACGGCCGGATCCGGCCCCGGGGCTACCACCTCTGGCCGGTATGTGCCCTCGCGTAGCCGGTACGAGCGAAGCCCCTCGCCTGAGCCTGCCGAGCAGGAGGATATGCTTTCGCCGGCGTGGGATCCGGTGTCGCCAGGCGGAAGCAGCAACCCCGGCCTCGAGGGCGGGGTAGATGCCTTGGCGTGGGCCGGTCCGGGGGCCGCCTTCCCCGGTGCGGGGGCTGGGCTGCCAGTTCCTGGGCCCTTTGTCCCCGGGCCCGGGGCCGGGCACCTGGGTATTCTCCCGGGCGATCCGGGGCTTGTTGGTGGCTTGCCCGGCTTCCATGTTGATGCTTATGGCCCGGCGGCAGCAGCGGCGGCAGCCGTGGCGGCGGCACAGCACGCGGCAGCGGTGCAGCACGCGGCGGCAGCGGCAGCGGCAGCGGCAGCGGCCGCAGCAGCCGGCGGATCCGACCACCACCATGCGCTGGCGCACTTGCATCCGCACGGCCTCCCCCCGGGCGGGCACCCTCATGGAATGCCTCCAGCACATCTGCTGTCACACTTGCATCCGCATGGCCTGCCCCCGGGGCACCATCATCCCATGTCTCCGGGGCACCTGCTGGCCGGGCATCCGCTGACGCACGGTCTGCCGCCTGGGCTGCCCTTGACCCATGGCCTGCCGCCTGGGCATTCGCTGGTCATGGGCGGCCCGGCCGGACCTGTGCCAATCAGCCGCGACCCTACGGAGCCAGGGCCCCGGCGGGAGGACGCGCGGTCGCGTGAGCGCGATCGCACTGACCGCGATCGCGACCGGGCTGACCGCGATCGTGGCGACCGCGGGGACCGTGGAGATCGCGACCGCGGGGACCGGGACCGCGGCGGGGATCGTGGCGATCGCGACCGAGAGCGCGACCGGGACCGAGATCGTGACTTGCGCGACCGGGACCGGGATCGGGACCGTGACCGTGACCGGGAGCGTGGTACCTCGCGTCACGACCGTGACCGCGGGGACCGGGACCGGGACCGGGATCGGGACCGGGATCGCCTCGATCGGGATCGCCTCGATCGGGACCGGGATCGCGCTGATCGGGACCGCTTCGACCGGGACCGCTTCGACCGGGAGCGCGACCGCGGTGATCGTGGCGATCGCTATGACAGGGACCGCTTCGACCGGGACCGTGGCATTGCCACCACCGGGGGCAGGTACGACCGGCATGAGCGCTTCGACCGGGACCGCGACCGCATGGACCGGCCGCTTGCCGTGGACGCCAAAGGCCCCGAGCGCGAGCCCCTGCGGAGTGTCCTCGCACCGAGCCTCACCGCCGGGGTCCTCCCTCTGTCCAGGACGGACCGTGACCGTGACCGCGAGCGCGAGCGCGAGCGCGAGCGCGAACGCGAACGCGAGCGCGAGCGAGACCGGGATCGGGATCGGGATCCGCGCGAGCAGCAGGATCGGGATACTCCGACTGAGTCGCTGCCGGGATTGCCCCCGGTCGGTGGGCTCCCTGCCTCGGTGGCGGCGCCCGTCCCGTCGGAAGCCAGCCTGGACCAACTGCCAGAAGGGCTGCCGGCCATCAAACGCGAGGCGCCGTCTCACATGGCCCCGGCTGGCAGCCCGCCGGAGACCGCCTCCACCGGGGGGGTGGTCACGTCTGTGGCCCCGGCCCCGGCCCCGGCCCCGGCCCCGGCGGTGGTTGTTCCCTCGACCTTCTCCCTGTCCCTCTCGCTGTCCAAGGCGCCGGAGCCGGTGGCTGTGCCTCGGGCCCCGTTGGCGGCTCCTTCTCCGGCCGCCGGGCGCCGGCGCGGGCTCCTCTCTGGTGTCGATGTACAAATGGCCTCTTCACACTCGGTGCTTGGTCGGCCGCGACGCCGGTCGGCGACCGTCGCCACGGTCGATGCCCCTCCTCCCGATGCCATCCTCGAGGGCGTTCTCAGTCTGGCCTCCCTGGACTTGCCCATCCAGTGCCAGCTCCTGGCTGCCGGGGGCCTCTGCACCGATGATGTGCCGCTGGCCTCGGCCATCGAGCAGGATCTCGGTGGTGGTAGCGGTGGCTCGGCCGGGCGTCTGTGCATCCGCGAACGTTGCGACACCTCGGCCATCCATGACAACTTCAAAAACATGCTTCTGCATGACCCGGCTGTGTCGGTGTGGCTGGTGTCCCCGGCCGCCGGGGACGATGGCCGTGCGCCGACCCTCTTCCAGCGAAATCTGGTCCGGTACCTGGCCAGCCGGTCGTCGCTCGGGGTGGCCCGGCGCGGGCTGGCCGGCTCGCCGTCGGCCGCTGCCGCCGCTTCCTCCTCCTCCTCCTCCTCCTCTGGCCGCCCAGACGGCGACCTCCTGGCCCTCGGGGCGGTGTATTACTTCCTGCCCCCGCTGCGAGAGGAGCTGGGGCTCTTTGAGCACTTTGCCCCGGATCACAGCCTCCTGAAGCCGTGGCTGGCGGCAGACACGCCACCGCCGGCTGGCTTCCTGCCCAACTGCCTGCTGATGGTGGTGCAGCCCGTACGCGTGGAGCACTTCCGCGCTTGATGACCAATCCCCCCCCCCCCCCCCCCCCCCCCCCCCCCCCCCCCCCGGCCCCCCCCCCCCCCCTCATGCGCGCCACTGACCCCCCCCCCCCCCCCTTCGCCTGCGAGCCGGAGAGTGGCTGCTGCCTGTCCTTGTTTTTCTTCCCCCTGCTCTCTCCCCTCCTCTCGGGGTCTTTTCTTTTTGCCATCCTTCCTCCATTTGTCACTCCGCGCCTGGCCGTGCATGCTCTCCGTCTCTCCTTCTCTCATCTCCCTGTATGTCCTTGTAATTATGTGCGCCCCTGCAAGCGCGCGCCTTCTCCCTACTACGGGCAAGAGCCCCGACTACGCTGCCCCCCGCTGTGTATGTTTGTGTGTATGTCTGCATCCTCCAATACAGCCCCATTCCTTGTGTATCCCCCCCCCCCCCCTCGCGATGATCGCGCGTTCCCTCTCCCTCTCTTGCCCTTTCCCGACTCAGGTAGCACTGCGCCCGGAGAATGTTTCAAGATGGTGGCACTTTTGCCATCCCCTCTCAGGGGGCACAGTGGAGGAGGAGGAGGAGAAGGTTGGAGGAGGGACCCTCGCCTGAGAATATCGACCCCACAGCCGAAAGCGACCCTCATGCTTATGTGTGCATGTCTGTGTCTGTGTGTTGTGTATAGGGGGGTGCTCGAGGACACCGGGAGTACACCGGTCAGTTGGGATGGTGCGCGCTCGGGGCGCCGTGTCCGGACTGCGGCGGCGGGGCCGTCCCAGGGGGAGGGAGCCCGGCCCCGGTGCCCTGGCGGCGCCACTCCTCCGGCCGCCCGGCTGGTTGGTGGTACATGCCGCCCAGCATATGTGGCGGGGGGGGCGCCGCGGCCGCGCCCGCCGCGAAGACCGGGTGGAAGTTGCTTCCATAGATGAGCCCGGCCGGGGGGGCCCCGGCAGCAGCTTGTGAGAACCCGGCAGCCGCCTGGTGCAGTGCGCGCGCCGGCATGTAGTGCGCGGCCGCGCCACCGCGCAGGGCCGCCACCGGGGCGCCAAGGGCCGGATGAACCATGCCAGGGGCCGCGTGCGTCGGGACGCCAGGTCGCACCCGGGGGGCTGTCGTGGGTTCCCGGCGCCGGGGGGCCACCACACCACCAACAGGTGCGGTACTCCCTATGGCCAGGAGGACCGGTGTCGTGATTGTCAGGGTAAGTGTGGGCAGCGGCGGCACCGGAGCGGCCAAACGAACGAGGGAGTCGCGTGGGGACAAGGGAAAAAGAATGGCAGAAGGGCCGGAAGGGGGACGCACCACCACGGCGGGCTCCACGCCCGCTGCCACCGAGGCCGCTGCCACCGCCGAACCGATTCCGATTCTGCGCATCGCGACTCCGCGAGGCAGACCATCCCCCTCGGTTGATGTCGAAATCCTGGCGCATTTCATCGCGGATCTGAGCCAAGTCAGGTCGGGTGGTGACCGGAAAGGCAGGGGAGGGAGAGGAAGAGAGGGAAAGGAAGCGGCGGCCCTTGGTGAGTGTGTGTGTGTGTGTGTGTGGCGAAAAGCGCAGGCACGGATGGAGGTCGTTTTTTTTGATTGCAAAAGAAGGCCCCGGGAAGGAGCGAGGCCAAAAAGGACCCGAGCGTCCTCGGGCGTACCTGGCCACCGCTCCGCCCGCGACCATACTGTCGCCCATCGAGGAAGCCGCGGTCCCAGTCAACACGAATGGTTCGATCGTCCATCTTGGTGCCGCTCAGACAGAGGATAGCCCGCTCGGCGTCATTTCGGTGGCGGAACCTGGGCACAACGAGGGAAAGAGGTGAGTTAGGTGCGTGGGCGCTGGGAACGCGCGCGCGCGCCCGCGGAAAGCACACGCACTCAATGAAGCAGAAGCCGCAGGGGGTCAGCTCATTCCGGTCAAGGCCCATGATGATCCGGCGAATCTCGCCGGCCTGCGAGAAAAATTCATAGATCTGTTCCTCGGTGGTGAAGAAGGAGATATTCCCGACGTAGACGGTGGATGTCCGAGAGAGGGCCTTGATTTGATCCTCGGAAGACTCCTAGAGACATGACGCGGGGATGGGGGGGG